TGTACAGATGAACAATTGTTGATGGCTGGCAGTAACGAATCCCACTGTCGATTAGAGCTTTTGCAACTGATTGAAACTGAGTTATACGCTCATTTAAATTTTTCTTTCGGAGTGTTGCAATTTTATTTTTGCTGGTATCGCTATCCCATTGGAGACCCAGATGTTTTAATTTATTTTGAAGATATATAGAAACTCCATTAATTTTAACAACGTGTTAGGAATATAACTTTTTCTAGAAATCAGAAATTCTGTTTTCTCAGTGTTTAGCTTGATGAAGTTTACTGTTCCATATGTTCGAAATCTGTTAATCAGTTCCTGCAGACCAGAGATTGTGGGGTTTAGCAAAATTACATAATCTGCGTATGCAATTACACCAGTATAAATTGCATTTATTGTCGATCCTACTTTATATTCTGAGACAATTTCATTTTGGATGCTTTCAGTATAAATGTTATATAAATGTGGCGATAGAAGAGACCCTTGTCGCACCCCTTGTGATAGACTGAATTGATTTGAGGTAACACCTTGATAGGATATGTTTGCAGAACCAGAATGATAAAGGGATAATATTGTGTGTACTACAGACAACGGAAGTTTTTTTTGGAAATACAGCTTCTCAAATAGCAAATCCCAGCTGCAAGTATCAAAAGCTTTATTAGCATCTAAACTGCACATATATAAAGGCGTGTTATTGTTTTTATAGTGCATAACAGTTTCGCTCAGTAAAAATTCTGCGTGGAGTGTAGAACTGTTTTTTTTAAAACCAAATTGATGGGAATGGCTATCTGTTATACTAGGACATATTCGTAGTATTAGATACTCTAGAAGTTTAGTAAAGATAGGTAAAATACTAATTCCTCGATAATTATCTGGATTATTAAGAGATTTTTATATGACTTAACAAGTGGAATAATTGTTGAAGTTGATAGATCATTTGTTACTTTTCCATTCGATAGAATACTGTTATAAAATTTAGCGAGCCACAAAAGAAGATTATTATTATAAGAGTTTTTAAGGTGTTCAGCACTTAACCCATAGCTATCTGGGGACTTATTACTATTTAATTGTGAGATGCAATTTATAATATCAGCTGATGTTATGATTAGTAAATTAGGCTCTTTACTTAGAGATTAACAAAAGTTCACGGCTGTTTCAGAGTGAGCTTTACGGCTTGTAATTTTTCTTGTTATTTTTGTTATAGTTCTTGTTATAGTTTTTTATAGTTATTTGTCTTGTTATTTTTGTTGTAGTTTTGTTATAGTTCTTGTTATAGTATTTTGTTATAGTTCTTGTTATTTTTGGAAAATATTTACTTAGGGGGTGTTACTAAAACATTTATAACTTTTGAAATATTTGATATAATTTTGTTTTGTAAAAAGAATAAAAGCAAAAATAAAATGTTTTATCATACGATATTTAATAAAATAGTAAAAAAACTTCTTTTAGTTTATAAAAAACGCGACAAATGATGAACTTGGCTAAATTTTAGTAATTTTTTGTTACTTTTTATCAAAAAAAAATCAGAAAAATATTTTCTTATAGTTATTATCAATTACACTCGTTGTTTGACTATTATTAAAATAAAAAAATCTTACTTAATTTCTTAAGGTTAACAAAAACAGCTACAATTGAAGTTTGCAAGCAAACCGCATTTTTTGCAAAATTATTATAAAGAGGGATTATCTGTTAAATGAGTACGTTTTTAAATATGAAAAAAATTCATTAAATTTGATAAATTGATAAATTTATCAAATTTAGTGAATTTTTTGAATTTATCAACTTATCAAATTTAGTTGATAAGTTGATAAATTCAATGCATTACAAAATAAAGCCAGATGTCGATTTTGAAATTTTTAGTCTTAACATTCCAAGCTAAAGCCTTTAAAAAACTTTATCAATTTTTTTCTTTCTATGCATAGAGTTTTAATAATATGGTGTTAAATTGTTAAAAAATTAAGACTCACTAAAACTAATAAAATAATTCATGACCACAACTGTGTTAAAGTTTTTGAATTAACCTCGCTTTTGGTAATAGAATTATTTTATGGCACTTGAGTCAATCTCTTCTCACAAAAAATAAAACATTTGTTTAATTTTTTTTGTTTGATGTGTTTTTATTCTCATATAAAACTGTTTTATAATAAGTTGATTTACTGATTCTGTCTTTTAAGTAGAAAAAAATCTTTGAACACCCAGTTGATATTAGATTCATGCTCCATTCTAAACCATTCTATTTTTTCAAAATAAGTTGGAACTGCTCCTCCTGTTTTAGCCTAATACTCATAGTCTCTATTTGAGAACATAACCCAGCTAACATGTCCATATGGGCCCCACGTGGTTTTTAACCTGGGCATATGGGCATGGGTTACAAGACACGGGCTCCATATGGGTCCCATTTTGGCCAACCCATTTAACTAATTTGACCGAATATTCCATTGTATAGATTACGGAATATTTCGTCAAGTGTGTTTATCGAGAAAAAAGAAGCTCTTAATAATCTATAATGGTATTATATATTTGTATAACAATGATTACTGCAACAATTTTGCAATAGCTAAATATTTACTGCGTTAAAAAATTTTACTTGGTTATTAAACATATTTTTGTAATTTTATAATAACTTTTAATTTCTTAGATTAATCTCTAATTTCTACTTTGAAATTAATTTTTTTTTTAATGAAATATGTTTGTTTAAGTTAAATAAGTAAACTTTAATGTTTAGTATTTAAAACTGTATTAAAAAAATTTATTAGGTGACTTTATTATGGATTACTCCTCAAGAACAAAGCGTCGAAAAGCGAAAAATGCTGTTGATTCAATATTTTCAAAGATAGCAACAGAAAAGTTTCAAAATTAAGTATATGTTAACAAAGCATTACCGCTACCAACTTCTGAATTATCTCTGCCTAATGAATTATCTAATGCTTTACCTAATGCTTCAGAAATAAGTGATAAAAATGAAGCAAATGTAATTGATTACACTTCTGATAATGAGTTTAAATTTTCATCAGATGAGGAATCTGAAAATGCCTCTTACACAGAAGAAAATTCTTTTAGTGAATTAAGTGATAGCGAATTTGATATCAAAGACAGATTATGTAATTGGTGTTCTTCCTACAATATTTCTCATGCAGCAATGTCAGATCTTTTGGAGATACTCAGATTTGCAGGTTTGCAATTACCAAAAGATCCAAGATCACTACTTAGCACTCCAAATTCTATTCAGCTGCAAAAAATTTCAGGGGGAAACTACTATCATTGTGGTATCAAAAATGGTATATTAATATTGTTACAACAGTATTGTGAATTGGTTATTGATGATAAAATTTTTATTAACATTAATATTGGTGGACTACCGCTTTTTAAGAGCTCAAAAATGCAACTTTGGCCTATATTAGGAAACGTTTTACAGCTACCTCTAAGTGCTATATTTGTTATAGGACTGTATTCTGGAACATCAAAGCCATTATCAGTTACCGAGTATTTAAGAAACTTTATTGATGAGATGAAAAGTTTAATGTGTCGGGGATTAAACTATTTAGGAAAACATTATTCAGTTTATTTAAATGCTGTTATATGTGATGCTCCTGCAAGAGCATATTTAAAGTGTATAAAAAGCCATGGTGGTTATTATGCTTGTGAAAGATGCTGCCAGGAAGGTGTATATATTGGACATAAAGTAGCATACCCTCAATGCAAGACTCAGAACTGATAGTGATTTTTGTTTGCAGGTAGATGAAGATCATCATTTACCTAATGCTGTATCACCATTAATTGAGTTAGGTTTGGGATTAGTTACTCAGGTATCATTAGACTATATGCATTTAGTTCTTTTAGGTGTAAAGAAAAGAATGATAAATTTGTGGATGAAAGGAGACTTAAAGTATCGATTTCCATCAATGGTTGTAAATAATATATCAGCGAACTTACTAGATTTACAAAACAGCATGCCAAAAGAATTCTGTCGCAAACCAAGATCTTTAAGTGATTACAAACAATGGAAAGCTACTGAGTTTTGTCAGTTTTTACTTTATACTGGGTCATTGACAATGTTTGGTATTATCCCAAAAGTAATTTATGAAAATTTTGTATCACTTTATGTTGCAATGACATATTTGTTAAGTCCAGATTTAGTCAGATATGTAGAATACTTAAATTATGTTGAAAAGTTATTGTGCAATTTTGTTACTAATTTTAAAGAACTTTATGGAGAAGCACAACTAGTTTATAATGTTCATTAAATGTTCATTAATGTTCATTTATTGAACATTTTATAATGTTCATTATAAAATGTTTATAATGTTCATTGTTACATATAGTTCAAGAGTTACATATAAGTTACATATAGTGCTTAAAAAAATGGTACGTCGTCCACAAAATCCAATTGCACAGATTATATGTCGAATGGCTGTGAAGTCAAACACTATAAACTATAAAAACAAAATATTTGAAGGAACATCAAATATAAAAGCCATATTTAAAAAAAAAATACATCAGGGCCTGTGCCACAAAGTTTGAATCAATGTTACTATCATATTGCCTCAATGATGAATAGAAATTTGGGACAACTACCAGTTTCTAACAACTCATATTCCCCAGGTGGTGAGTTTTATTTTTTTACCATCTGGGGAATATGAGTTGTTAGAAACTGGTAGTTGTCCCAAATTTCTAATCATCATTGAGGCAATATGTAGCACTTGAGGTGGAGTTGGAGGTAAATTTGTAACAGATAAAGCACCTGCATAAAATAACATTACAGTTTAAGATTGATTATTTTTGTAATTACTAAAATAAATTAAAAATTACTATGTTTAATTATCAATGTATGCTAGAAACCGCTAGATTTTATGCCATATCTATCTATCTATCTATCTATCTATATATATATATATATATATATATATATATATATATATATATATATATATATATATATATATATATATATATATATATATATATATATATATATATATATATATATATATATATATATATAT